CCAAAACGTCTGTGTTTTGTTTGTGAGTCAGCAAGGAAAAAGAGATAAAAAAGAAAAAGAAAAAGAAAAAAGAAGAAGAAAATGTTATCTAAGATACTCTTGCTTGACATATATGGTCGTTTTATATAAAAGAAACAACGATGATAATGGTTGGTTAGACTTTGAAATGTGACTTGGAATATGTTTTGGAGATGGACCTAACCAACTTTATGGTTTCAAGTTGTAGATAAATCTTAAAATATTGTTGTAGAGATTAGAGAACATTCTATTGCGCTTGAAAGATTTTATATCAGTTCCATCGTTTTTTAAAAAAAAAAAAAAAAAACTTTTTCAAAATTTAGTTGAGATTGGAAATTTTTATAACCCAATCGAATACATTTAAATTTTTAATTATGCTTAAGAAAAAATTTAGAATTTTTTTTCAAGTTAATCTTGCTTTATTCAGAAATATCAAACAATACAAAATTCTAAATGAAGCTCATGAACTCCTTCAACCAGACCATATCAAGCAAATATGAAATAGCATATTTGGTGAGAGCATAAGCAACACGATTTGCTTCTCACTGCACAAAAAAACTAGAGTTGAAAATTAACTACGTAAATTAGAATTGTATCTAAAATTGCACCCTCAAGAGCATGAATAGACGAGTTGTTAATTGCTTGGACAACATTGATGCAATCAGATTCGACCAAGACAATGGCAAGCTAGTGAGTGCAAGCAAAGTCATTATGTAGAGGTGATAAAAAGTGAACTTTTTAATTGCATTAAAGGTCTTCAACTATTGCTAATTATTATTTTTAACTTTTTTTTATCGTATCATCAATCTTCTATTAATTAGTACATTTTGTTTTTGAAGATTTCCGTCTAACGATTTTGTTAGGAAAGCGTAAAAAAGACCAACTTTGCCCTCGTATATTAAAATAAACAAGAATTAATAAATAGAGAAGTAATATATGCACTTCATTGTTGATAGATTTTGGACACAAAATATTCAGAGTCTAAATGTCCTAATTAATAGAATATACATATAAGAATTGAAAAAAAAAATAAAAAAATAGGACATAAATGTGGCCATATAACTATTCTTTCTGAAAAATACTTTTAAAAATAGTGAAAAGGAAACTACGTTACTCAAAATCAACTTCATGATTCCTTATCTAATTTTGAGAGATACATTCTCAACTCGGATTTTAATGAATTTTACAAATTTATTTAATTCCATGTGTCCAATTCAAATTTTAATAATTTCTTAAAAATCAAGGTACCCCAACTTGAATTCTAGGTGTCAATACTAATTCGTGAAGTTATATAAATTTCATTATTTGGAAGGATTTTAATTGATTTTTGTGAATTTCGAGACCATAAATATAAAAACAAACTCTTTAGGAATTTCAGTATTTGATTTTTCATAGATTTTAGTTAAATTCATGAAATCTATAATATAAAACGTTAAAAAATTACAAATTCAACTCAAGAAATCAATTCATAAATTTAAGAAATCAAAATTTATAGTTGACCTATCTGGAATTTGCTCTATGCCTTTTATTTTCTTGCAAAAATCCATTCTTTTCCCCTTTCTCTTTTTATTGCCTCCTCCTAGTCCCATATTCTCCATTTCGCGAAATGCTGTCAACAACAGCAAAGTACCAGGAAAGAGTGCCCATTGCCGTGTATAAATACACTTCACAATTAAAATAGAAAACCCTCAAATCAATAGTTTATTCTTACGCATGATGTATGCAGAACTAGAAAGCAAGATAAAGATTCCGTCTTGAAATATTTCACTCTTCATCAAGATTGAATTTTATCACCAACCCACAAAATCATAGTTTGTAATTGTCAAAAAGCAAATTGCAGTTTCAGTTTAGTTCAAAGCAAATTAATGGATGATGAAGTGGTTCAGCGGGTATTTCAAGAAGGTGGGCGCGATTTCTACCAACAGCAGCCTTCCACTTCCTCTTCTTCTTCCTCCATTCTCCAATCCCTTCCTCTACATGTGGTATGCTTTTTTGGTTTGCTGAATTTCTTATTTCTTTGTTCAATGGATAAGAACTGTCATAAATAGCCTAATATTAATTGATGGTTATCTGAATTCTGTTTGACTTTGATGTTAAAATAAATTGAGTAGATTAGCAAATTTTGTATACTACCCAAAAAAAACCAATATTTCAATTGGTATTCTGAAATTCAGATTTGAAGTTTAGGTACATTTTGGGCAATTAATTCCGGTTGTCTAAGCATTATGGGTTTTGAATTTTGCAGTCTTTTGATCATGGATATTACTTGTTGGTGAAATCGATTCAAGAGCTTAGATCAAAGAAAGAGGGTGTAGTAACAGTTGGAATAGGAGGTCCATGTGGGTCAGGTAAATCAAGGTAAGTATCTTGTACATGCGTGTTCAATTTGTTAATTCAGTGGGAATTACTGGTAGACTTTTATAGAAGCTTAATTCAGCATTATCTTAAAAAAGTGCATTTTAATGGTTCTTGAAGCTTAGCTGAAAAAGTAGCATCTGTAATTGGTTGCATTGTTATCTCAATGGAGAACTATCGCACTGGAGTTGACGATGGCAATGATTTGGAGTTAATTGATTTTGATCTTCTAATCCAGAATCTTGAGGTACTCCATTCTCTTTCATGTTCATTGTAATGAAGCTAAGATTTTTTTCTTCAATTTGGATTGAACTACATCAAATCTCTTAGTCTACGCCCCAGAAAGAGACAAACATATTTGGAGGAATTGTTGAATGTTTTTCTCTGAATCTATGATGCCTATGGACTTGTCAATAGATAGTTCAAGTAAACATTAGTTTTGGTTTATGAAGAACTAATTGACTGGCAGAACAATTGAGTTATGCAATGTTTATGCTGTTTAAACTTGTATATTATGCATTTCAGAACTAAAGTTCTTTTTTTATATAGGATTTGATAAATGGAAGAGATACATTGACCCCAGTGTTCGATTTTCAAGGAAGAAAACGTGTTGGTTCACAGGCAATAAAAAGTATTTCATCTGGGGTGGTAAGAATGCTTAAATTTCCTTTTTGGTTGCACTACTTAAACTTTTTTAAGTTTCATACTCCACATTTTGCTTGTAGGTGATAGTTGATGGAACGTTTGCTTTACATGCAAAACTACGGTCTTTGCTAGACATACGAGTTGCAGTGGTAATCTTTTATATCAATTGTTTTATGTTTTCATGTACATTTTTCTCCTCAAAGGGGTATAAATAGGTTTAGATTTTTTTCTTCCATAAATATTATTTGATCTCTCATCAAATATTTACTTTGATGTGTTGGTGGGACTTTTGTATCACATTTATGGGGAATCAGGTTGGTGGTGTTCACTTTAGTCTACTTTCCAAAGTTCAATATGATATTGGAGAGTCTTGTTCACTAGACCTCCTAATTGACAGCATTTTCCCGCTCTTCAGAAGGCACATTGAGCCTGATCTTCATCATGCACAGGTATGCAATTGGCATCCTGGTTTCACAATTTCTACTTTCCTACTTGTAGTTGATTGGCTGTGTCTTTTGTGTAGATCAGAATCAACAACAGTTTTGTTTCATCATTTAGGGAACCAATTTACAAACTCAAATGCAATAGCGAGGTATGCAAGAATTGGGTTCTATACTGCATGAGGAAAGTTGTAGTCCATTATATTATTAGTAATTTGAATAATTTAACATGATTTTTAGCTCTTGATATAGCATTCAAGCATTTAAAGAGTGTTTTCGTAGTTTAGCTGAAGGAGTGCAGTTGCACACCTTTATACATGGTTTCCTCGATCTATGTCTTATTGATCGAAGTGTTGATTATATGATTTTGTAACTTTAATTTTATTTCTTATTCAATCACTGACATAACTTTTTTTCTGGACAGTGCTTGTTTCGGCATCATTTTCACTCTTTTTGAAGAGGTTTATGAAAATTGAACAATAATGACCAAGTCTAATCTGCACACGTTGACAATTTTATTCTTGTCTATTTGGGGAAATTGTGAATCTTCACAGAGATGCTTTTCATTCATATTAATTTCTGTCATATTCCTTTTAGCACATTACATACCATGTCTATATTGTAACACCCTAAAATTTCATAAACAATGGAGTGTTATTAAAAAATCAACATTTTTTACGTTAAAAGCGGAAAGATACAAATAAAAATATAACTTTATTTTCAACAATAAATATCAACTAAAACATGGAATCTAAGTTTCCAAAAAAAAAAAAAATTTAAACATAATCAATTAACTAATTAATAAACGTGTCTTTCAATAAATAAAACTTGCTAATAAACTAGGAGTTAAAAAAAACTTAATGTTTTTATTTTTTCAAATCCTCTTGTAGTTCGCATCACCATCCCGTCACAACTCCAATAAACCCGAATTAACATGTAAATTTTTTTTGTAAGAGTGAGTATTTAAAAATACCTAGTAAGATACTGCTATTTCCATACACAATTATATAACAATCAAATAGACACTTCAACCACTCTTTTCTTATAGAGCATATCGATGATCAAGCAACATACCCATCTTAGGTCATCTTAAATTCTCGAAGATTTTTTTTTTTTGATAACCGTGGATGTCCGGGCCAGCTTGCGCTCACCTCGACTAATTCCATGGAGCCCTGAAGTTTACGGTCGGGTACTCACCTCAGTGGCCCTGAGAGGACTCGAACTGGTGATCATTGGGGAGCAAACCCAAGACTTGACCAATTGAGCAACCCCTCAGGGTTTTCTCGAAGATTTCATATCTCTTAATAAAGAACACGAAGGTCCACCGACAATTCATGCCTAAATTACTGAATATAAAAGTATAAGGAAACAAATCAATTGCACAAATATATTTTACCTTGTTTATTGAAAGGTTGTAAAATAATACACGTGAAAATCCTTTTCCTATGTTTCTTTCTCTATCTGCCTTGACTCTCTCTGACTCTGTCTATGAATAAATATTTTGTGTTGAAAATTTCTCTTGACTTCATGGGGTATTTATAGTTAAAATAAATATTTACAAATTGAGTTTTAGTGCAATAATAATACAAAAGTCGTGTACCACTACCACCACGAATTGGATAAGAATGGGTTCAAGTGGTAGAGTTAGTAGTATATTGTACTATTGGTTTCCTAGTACAATCATCCAATTGAAAATAGGACACGAGGTCAACATGGACTTGGTTTCAAAAAATGACATTTGAATTGTACTACACTATTGTTTTCATATCAAATAAAAATCTAGTGTGGTAGGAATTAAAGTGGAAAAGAATTTTACTTAATTAATATTGCAAGCTCCACCAACTCTGTTAACCTATTATTCTTTTAATTGGACTCAACTTGATATAGTCTAATCCCAAATAACATTTTCTCGTGTTGAAGACTTCTAATTAATTACGAGCTACAAAAAAAGTCCAATATCGATACACTTATTTTTCCTCAATCAAAATCTAATTATTTGGTCAAAATAAAAAGAATTTAAAACATATTTTACTTTAATCCTTCAACTTTTCAAGATATTAATATATTTATAGCATATATAACAAATAAATTTTATTCTATAAAATTTCCATGGCTTTACATATATATAAACATATGGGCACATACGTTTGATTATAAAATTTAATAAATATAGATACTTATACGAAGAATAATCTTTTTCTTTTGAAATCAGCCACTAAACACTATACATACTATGTAGTTCTTGATGCTGACATTTTATTTCTGCATCTATTGTAATATTATGTTATGTCGTCTAATACTGGTTAATAGGTAAGTGTTCTTGGAAATTGACATAAAAAAAATATTTGATTGCTCCATACATCATGTCCTGCTTTTTTTCTCTGGAATATGAGATGGAGTTGATAAGAGTTCAAAATCTAGAAAGCTTTTGTGATCAAAATTTTTCTCTGTGTTAGATGAAAAAGACTTATTTCACTTCACTTAATTGATACCTTCTATTATTTAATATTTCGCTCTCAGTTTCTCTGTAACAAATATGGTACTGTGTGACATGAACAGGAAATGGTTATGGCTAATCTGATGATTGTGAAACTCTCTCTGAAATTGAATACCATACTATCTACAATTTTTGGCTCATTGAAAAAAATTATTCTTAGTCCATACCATCATATTAGGTTTTGTAAATTCATAGCTCAGTCGATTTTTTTCTACTTTAACTGTTGGTTATTTCTTACTGGACAGCTTACTTAACTAGAAATTTGTCATTTTTAACAGTCACAAAGTGGACATGCTGCCTACATTTTTCATGGAAAGGAAGCACAACTGGACAAGTAAGTTTTTCAGTTGGTCATTATATGTTTAGTGCAGAAATTGCCATTACGTTATCACTTTCTTTACTTTAGTTGAATCTGAGCTTGTCTTCAGTTTTATCGAGATGTACCTGAGACCCCCTTCTGCAAGTGAAGAAGCACGAATAAATGATTGGATCAAGGTGCGACAGTCTGGTATCAAATACTATCTATCACTAGGTGACCAGAGGATTGTTGACAAAAATTTCATTATTCGACCAAAAGCTGAATTCGAGGTGAATGTTTCTACTTCAAAATGAACTATAAAATACTTGATTTTGCCTTGGTGCTTTATAATTCAGATGTTTGCTTGTTTGGAAATCTTTGAAACAAAAACATAGCACTAGATATGATTTTGGCTTAGTTCTTTTGTAGCATATGGTTCCATAAAGGGAAATAGAAAATGAATTTTTGTGCCCCATTTCAAAAACACTTCCGAACTGCTTTGGGTGATTTTTGACAGAAAATCTCTCTCTAAGCAATAATCATGAAATATTCTACATAGAAAATGTTTGTTTGTCACATTTTGAAGAACATCTGGAGTACGTTTCAGGTACTCTTCGTCGAAACCTCCAAAATACCCAAGTGTTACTCTGTAAACAGTCCCACCAATAAACTGGTCAAAAGGCATAACTGTATATGTCAAATCATTATTGATCACAAATGCACAATCACAACTCAGAAGCTTATGACAGTTCGTATCATTTGTTTTTGTACAGATTGATCTTGTTTCACAGCGTTCCTAAATTGCCTCATGCCATTATTAAATTGACGGGACTTTGCCAACAAAAAGGGTCCTAATTGACAAGAACTAACCTTTTCAGCTGATATCATGCAAAGTTAATAACATTTACCTTAGAAAAGACCTCAAGTACTAGCTTCAGCCAGAGGGTATCAAATACTTCTCATCAGTCCAAATATCACCATAAAATCTGAAGAGTAAAAAAATTAGCAACTGAGAGTGTATCTTGTACTACTTATCAAAGAAAACCATAGGCTTCTTGGTACAGTAGTTATTTTGTCTCTTAATGTTGAATGCTCTGCTAGTTGAAGGAAATTGACCTCAAAAACGTGATCAAACATTTTGGCGGTGGTCCAAATGTGCTTGAAAAACATTCAAGAATTGAATAGTCTGAAATTAAAGGCAGGGAATTGTATCTATAGAGCGAAATTCTTAACTTCACTGTAATCTTTCCTCTTGTTCGGAAACCATTGCCAAAGACTGGATTTTTCCCCAGATATTCTTATTTTGTTTGTTCTAGTTAATTCATAAAGCAACAGTGGCTCAATGCAAATATTCTTTAGAATTCAATTATGAAAAGAACAAGATAGCGGAAATTAAAATGGCAGCCTTTAATTTTTCTCTATTTTGTTAGCTCTCATAACTTAACAAATAAAGAAATAAGATATGGACACTCGTGTTCATATTATTAACTCTTTTTCAATTCTCTTTTGAATGCCCTGACAAAGTTTTAAAAATCTGTACTTGCAGACTTCTTTAAGGACTTTGATCCACATTACATATATTGAAGAAAGGCTTAGTGAGAAAATACAAATATATATGTTTATTTAATTTAAAACAAATTTAATCAATTGTCAATTGTTCTCCTTTCATTTATTCCTCGTAAGAAGTTTTATGAGCTATGGTTTTCTAGTTATTTCAATAACTATTAGAGGAATCCATTTCAGATGTTTTATCCCCTAGAGTCTAATTTCAGCTTTTTAATATTAATAATCTAAAGATAGCTTTACTTACCACTGATTTTTTCTACTATTTCCTTCTCATTCTTTCATCCGATGTGCACCATATGTTTTATTTTATGCTATGAAATTCATCCAGACAATCATTTGAGCAAATTGAATTCTTAATTAATTTATTTCTGTCCCTTTTTTACCGTAATAATTTGGTTATATACCTTCTGAAGATGTCCTGTTGAAGTATTTATGTATCACACTGGTTATTTCTTATTTTCTAGTTGCTTTAGTAAACCAAGCAATCAGTGGAGGGCAGGAAAAGATTCATGTATCCGACCCCAAATTTATTGGGTTCCAGACTAGATAGTTGTTGTATTGGTTACTTATTATTTTATTTTTATGCTTTTACCAACTCAAATAATTCTGCTGTCGTTGGATGAGTCCCGATATTCAAGTTTCAGTAACATCTGTTTTGACTCCTTCCAAGCTATTATTGAACGTTTATGAACTTGCTATATGTGAATAGGTCCTCCAGTTCTTTAGTAGTACTCTTTTCACTAGAAATTGTGTATAATGATTCCTGGCAAGTATTTACCAGTATCTTTTATAATGCAAAACATATCTGGCATTAACGATCCATTTTACTATTGTAATAGGTTGGCCGGATGACTCTGGGTGGATTGCTAGCCTTGGGATATAATGTGGTTGTTAGTTATAAGCGGGCATCAACTTCTGTCATTGACGGAAATCTTTCAGTATCTTTGGAAACAATTGATACTCTTGGAGAGACCTACATGGTGCTCAGGGGCACAAATAGAAAAGTATGTACTCTAATCTTCTCTCAAGACTCTTAAAGCCTTCCCAGAATTCTGTTACCACTGAACTGGAACCTTTCTCCTCCTCCTTCTTCTTCTTCTTGTTATTAGTATTATCATCATGATTCATAATGTTTTCAGTAATGCTCTTTAATATGCTTACAAGACTGCAACCACATTGGCAGAAGTGCCCTAAAGCAGCATACTATCGTGCTAATATTTTGCAGAGTGTAGTACAAGTCTATTTCCATAATAACAAATCCTTATGTTTTATTTTTCTCTCCAGAGAAATATCTTTAGACAATAAAGTTAGCTGGATTCTAACCTATCACACCGGATATTCTTCCTACACCTGATTACAAATCCTTATGTTTTACAAATCCTCAATGCCTGATTTAAATTTTGTTATTTTGTAATTTTGTCAGTTGAGCCTAAAATATTTGTAATCCGTATGAATACATTAGTCTATCTGGCTTTATTGAACCATGTGCCCATTGTTTGGCCTGAGTTACTGTCCTTATGGTGATGTTCTACTGCCACCTCGTGTATATTTTTTTACCTACAAATATAATCTTATAATGGTTTCATGTGGAAATCTATTCATTTTTGAAGGGCCACTTAGAGTCATCTGTTAATCAGAGTAGTTGTGCACTTGAACTTACGTTTGACACAGTTGATCTCCTTTCCAGATAGTTGGAACTGAATCATCAAGGCTTGGTATCAATTGCCCGTGGATAACAAAATCATATCTAGAAATGATCCTTGAGAGAAAAGGTTTGGACTTGGATTTTCCTTTTACATTCTGTTTTTGCTTCTTCCTTCTTTCTATGCCACTAGTAATTTTCCATTACAAATCTGGGTCAGTGTTTGAACCTTGATGGTTTAAACTTATAGTCCGCTACATCAAACACTTAACTCAGCATGATTTCTTTAATTTGAATCTAATGATTATGAGGATCTTGGAAAGGTCTAGGAGCAGTTTTTGAATCTGATTGAAACTAATTCTTGTTCCACATCATACTGCATATGTGCTTGTGTGCGTACTAGGGCGAGAGAGTTAACCTAAGGGGTATAATTATGATTCCTTAGTAGATATCCTGAACACTTGGCTAGATGATGGTAGTACCTACTAGTGGCCCATATGCAAATCTTCAAATTAGTTCGTGCGTGTGTTTTCATATCTGTGCCCAAATTATCAAAATCCCTTTCTAATCTATTTATCCAAGTTGCAGGGGTACCACGGCTTAATACACCTCCTTTGGCTAGTGCATCTTTGCCCAGTAGTCAAGAAAGGTTGCTAGCAGCTCCAAAGCCACTTCGTATAACTCCCAACCTGGTCAACCGGCTTGAGGATTTGTCACAGCCATGGACTCGGTCGCCAACCAAGTCTAAACTGGAACCTGTCCTGGCGACATGGCATTTTCTCTCTCCAGACCCTCTCCTAACTGATGTATACTCTGGTATGTTATGGTTACTAGTAGTGAGTGAGAATATTGTTCCCTAAAAAAATTTAAATGCAAGTGAACTAGAAAAATGTGGTTAAGTTGTATTTTCTGCTGTTTTCCATGTATCGATTTTTTTCATGAAACGACCACAGATCCTCCTTCCAGGGATGCCCTGCAGCTTGCTCCGATGCCTGATTCTTATGACTTGGATAGAGGGTTGCTTCTTGCTGTGCAGGCAATACAGGTAAGTGTTCTATTTTAAATGGCAAGGATCATGTCCTTGCTCTTTGCGTCCGTGAAGTTTGATTCTAAGAGTCTTCTGAACTCTTTTATGGGCACAAAACTTGGATGTCTCACTTTGTTCATTGCAGGCTTTGCTGGAGAATAAAGGTCACCCTGTCATAGTTGGAATTGGTAAGACAGACTCTCTCTCTCTCTCTCTCTCTCACACACACACACACCCTCCCATCTTGGGAACAACTAAACTCATGAAACAAGTATTGCCTGCATATAGTAATTCAATGCAACTGAAGTGAGTTGTATGGAAGTGTGATTCTGTGGCAAACTTGTAAGTTGTAAATAAAATTAAGTTCCCATAAGAAAGTTCTAATCCAGAATGCATAATGTCCAAGTCACCATAAATACAGTTTAATATTTAAATGTAGGTATATCCATATACTCAATTTTTTAGTTTTCTAATCGAGTGGTAATTATTCTATGAAGTAATTAATGGGCCTGATGATATTGGTGTTCCAGTCAAAGGTACAAATAATTTTTTACTAGATAGGTTCTTTTCTTACGTATGCCTCTAATAATATGTTTTTGGTGGAGTTATTTTCCGACCAATGGTTATCCAAGTTCAAACCATTTGAGCACGATTAAGATTCTTTCAGATTGCATTTTTTTAAGGTGCCTGATGTAAGCAACATGTAATGGAATGGCTGTAACATTAGGTGGGCAAGTTGTATAAAAGTACAATCAAAGAACTAGTGCTACATACATGCATACATACATACATACATACATACATACATACATACATACCCC